GGTTGATCTGTTAAACGCATTGACGACAGATTGCCACCAAACGCCAAGCAGGTCTGTTCGTGTATACGTGCGCACTGTTTGCAATTTGGCGCCAACAGACGATGACCAAACCTATTTCGGATTTTGGCTTCACTTTGGCGATAATTTGACTTCGCTTTGCTTGTGGCAGACTCTGTCATCATTTTGGTCGCATTTTGACATTTCACATGTTGACAGACATGATTACCAAACCATATCCTACTGAGGACACAGATGGATATGGTTCTGTGACCGAAATGTTTGCTGGGATGTTATATATATTTATATATATATGTGTGTGTATACATATCACATGTATACACATTACCGCGTTATCACTAGAATATTATATATTACTTGTTTTATACATAAAAAAGTGAAATATGTAAGAAACTTGACTAATAATAAATACAAATTATTTTGCACTTTATATTCTTTTTATCTCTTCCTTAAATAAACCATAAATTTTAACCTACTCTCTCTCTTTCTCTCTCTACACACACACACACACACACACACACACACATATATATATATACATATATATATAGAAGATATCTATAGGACATCAGTGTTACATCCTGTAATATTTTTTGAATGTCCTCGGATATCTTGTAGATATCGTTTGTTATCCATAGGATATCACAAAGGCGGACATTAGTATACCTTATGGATATCTCTCAGATAACTGAGACTGTCTTGGGATGTCTTATGGATATTGCGATATCCCAAAATGATGTCCGTAGGACGTCCCTACAATAAAGTGTGCTGTGTGGGCCTTCTTACCTTTTCATACACACACACACACACACACACATTATTTGTTATTATCATTATTTTGTTAAATTTTTAAATACATATACAACTATATATATATATATATATTTATATATAAACATAACTATTATAATATTGCCTTACTATTTTTTATTTTTGATGTTTTAAAGACATTTTAAAACTAATTATACAAATCTATTATAGTATGTTATTTTTTATTCTTTCTCTCAATTTTTTAATAATTGATTTACTATGACATTTATCTGTTGTCATAGTTTTTTACTATCTCAATTAAATATATTTTACTTTTTTACACATACCGTAAGTAAGGCTGGATCCTCATACAGACACCGGCGCTTTGACACCAGCGCTCAAGCGCTGTTTCAAATGTTGAGCAACAGCCAATGAGAGCTCTTCAATTGAGAATAAGTAAAACGATAATTTATATCCTATTTTATAGATATATTTTTAAACTGTAAACTATTTTTATTATGTTTTTTTCTATTAAATGATATGCAAATCTATTTGAGTTTACATCCTTTTCACAAAATTAAAAAATTTGATCTTCGGCAGTTACAACACTTGTCTAGTGACATTC